TGGTCAGAGCGAAAGAACAATTCAAACACTGGAAGATATGTTAAGAGCACGTACCATAGAATTTCAAGGCAACTGGGATGAGCATTTACCCTTGGTAGAATTCTCCTACAACAATAGTTACCATTCAAGCATTAAGATGACACCTTATCAAACCTTATACAGACAAAAGTGTCATACGCCGTCTTGTTGGCTTGAGACCGGAGAAAAGCAGTTTATGTTTACGAGATAGTTCATCAGAATGCTAAAAAGTTAAAAGTGATTAGAGAAAGGATGTTAGCAGCTCAAGATCGCCAAAAGATCTATGCTGATAAGAAGCGACGACCAATGACATTCGAAGTTGGAGATTTGGTGTTGCTCAAAGTCTCACCGTGGAAGGGAATTATAAGATTTGGAAAGAAAGGAAAGTTAAGTCCAATATTTATTGGGCCATTCAAGGTTCTTCATAGGATTGGGAACCAAGCTTACAAGCTGGAATTTCCAGAAGAACTAGATGGTATTCATAACACTTTTCATGTGTGTTATTTGAGGAAGTTCACGGGAGAAGTTCCCGATATAATTCCACTTTCGGAGTTAAGGATTGATGAAGATAAGAGGTTAATCGAAGAGCCTGGACCAATTGTTGATCGTAAGACGAAGAAATTGTGACATAAGATGGTCGAATTAGTGCTAGTGCGATGGAAAAATTCGAATGGGCCAAACCTCAGTTAGGAAACAGATAGTGACATGATGAGTCGCTATCTACATCTGTTTGCTGATGCATGATTCCAGGACGGAATCATCCTAAGGAGGAGATAATTGTAACACCGTGTTTCTGGATGAGCATTATTATAATATTGTAATAGTTAGGCTCAACAATTGTAACCTATTTTGAAGTAATGAAGATTAATTATTTGAGTATTATGTGGTAAATGTGATTTATGTGCAATATATGTGCTTATAACGATATAATAAAATAATAATAAAAATATGGGTCAAAAATAGAATGAAAATTGACCCAATATCTTTGAAGACAGTTAAAGTATTCGTAACAAGGATTCTGGAGATATAAGGAACGTTGAAATCTGACTTATAACGAAGAAGTTATGACCCGTTGAAGTTTTACGACTAAACAACACAGCACCGTGTATCATAAAAAGTGAATTTTTGATAAGCTACTTTTTAGCCTTAGAGATCTAAACAAAAGTCGTAGTATACGTTAAACCGAGAGCGTACATATAGAGAACGTCCAAATCTTACTTCGTTTAAGGAGTTATGATTTTTCTAAGATTTAGCATAGCAATGCACAGCCTGGAAATCGAGTTTTAGATCGATCGATTTTTTAGCCAATGCAACCTAAATGAGAATTAAAGTTCTCATTAATAGGAGCTCAACGATATAAATACAGTCGAAAACGGACGTCGAATGACAAAGTTATGAATTTTTAAAAGAGTTTAACTGTCTAAGCCTGTTAAAATATAACTTTAAAATAAATTCAAAATTAGCCGACTGAGTCTAAAGGAAAGTTGTAGATTTTGTCAAAACCTACGTGTGGATATAAAGAACCTCAAAAACGGATCTCGTATGAGAAAGTTGTGAGTTTTTTTAAAATTGGCTATTTTACATGCGTCCTGTGCCACATGGCAGCACCAGGCGGAGCCTTGGTGCCTACGCAAGGTCACGACACAAATCGTCCATGTACAACCTATAAATAGAAGATGCAAATCACTATTTTCTTCACACCTTTCTATCCAACTCTATCCCAAACACCCCCAAACCCTCTAAGCCTTTCCCTAGCATCTCCTAAGTGTTACTAGCGAGCCCCGGAGCGTCGGAAAGCGCCAAGAAGGAGAGCTTTCCGCTCAGAAGTTCTGCCCGCGCAGAGCCCTGTTCCTCACTAAACTCCCTTGTAAGTGTGTTATGCTTACCATACTTTAAGTATAACTTATGTTTAAGTTCATTATCGTTATTATGAACCTATAAAAAAGATTTATCAGTAATTCAAAGTCGTTATACTGATTGATCTACTTACGGGGATGATATCTAGGCTGTGATTTAGTGAGGTGTTTAAAGTGGGATTTTCAAACAATATACTTCGTATACCAAACGGACCCTACCTCCGATATGATCCTACCTGTTTGTTCCTTACTTGATCGATCATGCAAGTAGACTTTGAGTTAATGATGAATCTAGACTAATAATTAGTCGGAATAAATAATAAACTAAAACATAGTGATAATAATACTACATTTTGTCAACGGAAAAGACAATTGTTAGAAGCGAAGTGTTGCCCGAATTTGAGTCGTCACTTTAACAAGTGAGTGCATAGTTACTTTTATCTTACACATAGATATGAAGTATTTAATATAAATTATGTGTTATATGTGCCTATTATTTGTGTTCTTGATATATATGTTGGATGAACGATTTATACATGTTTTACTTGATTTAAACTGTATATGTATTTTATACCTATAAACATGTTGGGTAAAGATGGGTAGATGAAATAGATTAAATAAAATGATGAGAGGCCTTGATTCTTAAGCTAATCCAGTCATCTAGCGGAGTATAGATGACGACCACAGACTATTCTAGACAGTCTAGTAGAACGCTGGTAGGCTCGCAACCTGTATGTATTTTTGAACCACGTGTTCACCAGGTGTACTCCATCCCCCTCATGGTTACGTTACTGATATATATTGCTGAGGAATCCCCTAAGCAGTATTGTCTTCCCGATGATAATCCTTAGGCTAGATCCCTTGAATTAGATGCTTAAGGGATAGAGAGTGAGGATAACGGGAACGGGTAATCGGGTTGAATGGTTTGATGAAATTAAAGAACATGATTATTATAGGTTGAAAACCCTATGTGCTCACCAGACTCCCAAGCCTGACCCACTCAGTATCTTGTATTATAGGTAGTGGAAAATGAGCACATGTGTGATGATCAGATAAGAGATCTACAGATTATAGATCGTTAGAATAATAGATGTTTGTAAGGTCTGTACTATTTCTGTTTATGCTTATGCATTGTATTGACGATGACATCCCAACATCTTTAATATAATGAAAATACATTTCGTCAGAAATGCTTTGATAATATACTCATCATATTTTGGGAACAAATTCCACAATATTATTCTTAAAAAGGATACTCTGATTTTAAATAAAACATAAACAAGTCAGTGTTTTCTGGCCGTGAAATTAGGGATGTCACACGTTTGAGGATATCACGATTGATTTGTCCGGATGTTCCCACGATGTCGCCAAAAGTCCTCTACATCATGTTGAGGGTTTGACAGTTGACCGTTGACTTTTTGACCAGTTTGAATTTGGGTCAAACTTGATGGAATTAGGGTATTGAATAAGGTTCCACATTTGTTTGGTGCTAGTCGGTTTGTGGGAGCAATCAATGCAGGGCTTGAGTGTGTTTCTATGTTTCATTGGGTCTTCAATTCAGATGAGTTTTCCTCACTATATTACTTATTTCATAGTAGGGTGCATGGTAGACTAGCCGGGTCTTAGTAGCTGATGGTTATTATGAGTATTTACCGAGTTGCTGATAATAGTATCAGGGTTGATGATAACCCATAGTTGTTATATTGACATAGGGGTAGTGGTATATTGGTTAGAGTACTAAGAGGTCGGTAGTCACCTAGTTGAGTGCTCTAGGGTTTGTATGTAGTCATGTAGGATAGCCTGAGAACTATTGATCTAGGATTTCTTGCCTATTCCTTGTTTGGTTGTGGCTATAACGTGGTATCACTTGTTCAACTGTCTATCTCACCTCTGAATACATATAGTTATGCATTCGTTAGTGATCTGCTAGTGGTGATGTGGAGTACTCTTTGAGGACCAGTGTACGATAGTGAGATGTTAGTCCGGTAGACTAGTGTAGGTGTTGCCTATGTTTATGATTTTATTTGCTGATTGTTGTTATGTGATGATAGCTGCTGATAGCTCCAGGGCATGTTGTTAGCCCATTGGGACTGCTGATATTCCTCAGGGTTGCTGATAACCCACAAGGCGTGTTGTTAGCCCATTGGGACTACTGATAGTCCTTAGAGTTGCTCATAACTCACATGACATGTTGTTTAGCCCATTGGGACTGCTAGTAGTCGTTAGGGTTGTCGATAATCTATAGTTGTTCATATGTTGTGCTATATGTGATATTTTGGGGGAACTCACTAAGCTTTGGCTTACAGTTGTGAATTAAATGGTTTTCAGGTACCATTGGTGCTCGTAGGAAGGTGAAGGCATGACTGTACACAAACATCAACAACAGTGGGAATTCCACATTATTTATACTAATATGATTTTCAAACAACTGTATTTGGAACAAATGTGTTTTCATAACTGGGATTCTCTGCAAATGAAGATTTTATCTTATTTAAAAATGAAAAATTTTCTTATGAAAATGGGACATTAGACAAAGATTGTTGGTTTTTATCATGTATATATATATATATATATATATATATGTGTGTGTGTGTGTGTGTGTTAATTTATATCATTTTATTTTCATTTTTTTACAATAATACATAAAAGTTTATCTACATTTATTAGTTATCTATAATAAAGTCATAAAATTATTAAGAAACTTTTTAAGTTTTTTTTTTAATTCAGTTTAAATAGATTTTAGTTTATTCTAACAGTCTGCAGATGTTTAAAGAAAACAATCGTCTTCTTTCTGACTGCATGCGTTTGATCCACCTTTTCTATTGCAAAGGTATGCAGATGTGGTCCGCAGACTGCAGACATTTTGTCTCAGAATAAACAAACAACACCTTAGTTTCATATTTACACAACAAATTTCCACAATGTAAATAAACTAAATATGCTTCTCTCGTATGATTAAACTTAATCTCGCTGTAAATTATCTGTAACCTACATTTTTATGTTTCTGCTACATAGTGCAGTCATACAACCCCGACTAGTTATAATACTTATGTAACAAAATGTTTTACTGCCAATGTATTCCACAATATTTTTCGTACACATCTTTGACATGGAAAAATTTAAATATTAGCGAGGTTCTAGTGTTGTCAATGTGATGTCATTGACAGATACTAGATTAGTCTGAGGTACACTTCCTTCGACAAAAAATGCAGGTTGTTTAGGTTCAGGCAATGTACCTTCTTTATCAAACATCAAAACCACATTTGACATATTTGGTCTGTCTTTTGCGTAATGTTGTACGCATAAAAGACCAAGATGTATCGACCGAAGTACTTCCGAGGGGACACATGAATCACGGATATCCGCACCAAGCAGCTCCTCAGCCATACCTTTTTCAAAAAGTCTCCATGCCTAAAAAATGGAAAGAAACCTCAACAACAATCATTTCTAGGTAAACTTTTTTTATTTTACTACATTAGTTTTAGGCTTTATTTTCTTTTATTCTGATAAGGATTATTTGGATTAAAAAATATCAGAAAATACTTGAGAAAATTATAGGAAAATAAAAGAAAAAAAATCATGAGAAATTTAATAAAGAAAGTAGTAGCTGAATGGGGGAAAATAACTATCACCATGAAGCATTATTCCGCAATAAGTAAAAACGAGTGTTAATAACTTATTGGAAATCGTATCATTGTTGAGTCGATTAATTGAGCTAAAAAGGAACATATATTGCAGAACGTACATGTGCAAGAAGATTATCACTGTCCTTTTCATGAAAGAATCCCCTATTTTTCTTCCCACTCACTATTTCCAGCACAAGAACTCCAAAACTGTAGACATCTGATTTTTCCGAGAAAGTCCCATCTACAGCATACTCTGGTGACAAGTAACCCCTGAAGGAAAAATATGAAGATTTAAACATATGACTCGAAGAAGTACAATATATAAAACGAATGTCACATGTTTATTTTTTGGATTCTTACAAAGTTCCAACTATGTTATTTGTATTCTCTTCGTTTTCATGTTCTTTAAACAGCCTTGCTAGACCAAAGTCTGATATCTTTGGGTTCATGTCAACATCCAGCAAAATATTGCTCGCTTTGAGATCTCGATGAACAATTTTAAATCGTGAATCTTGATGAAGATAGAGGAGTCCTCGAGCAATGCCATGAATGATGCAAAACCATCTGACCAATCTAGTACTGAACTCTTTATTTTATCTGGCAAATGTAGATTATCAGTATAATTTACATTAAGAAAAAATTGGAAAGAAAAACGGAGAAATATGTGTGTAGAAGCAGTTGTACCAAATATGAATAAGTCCAGACTTCTGTTAGGCATGTATTCATAGACCAACATATTTTCATCTCCTTGTATGCAGTATCCAAAAAGCTTTACAAGATTTCGATGTTGAAGTTTAGCTATGAATTTAACTTCATTTTTGAACTCGCCAAGACCTTGTCTTGAAGTTTGGGATAACCTTTTCACAGCTATTTCTCGTCCATCATCCAACACACCCTAAAAATTAAATGGCATTAAGATATTAAAAAAGAATTAAAATGTATTTTACAATTATAAATTGATTAACCGTTGATGAAATAAATCACAAGAACTATAGTTAGTTAACTTTGTTACCTGGAAAACCTGACCAAAGCCACCTTCTCCAATTTTCTTGTCATTCGCAAAAGCATTAGTAGATTTGGATATCTCAGTCAGGCTAAAAGACGATAACTCTGTATCGCCCTCTCGACTCTCCATGTTATACTCTTCGTCAATGGTTTGCACAACTTCATCTGTAATTGGTAACAAACCAACTAATATAAGTTAATGAACGATTCATATTTCAAATTATTATATCTTACAGTTTCCCTACAAGTAACCAAAATAATTAAAGAATTATACCTGGTATTTTCATATGGGATCTTTTATTCTTTCTACAACTATACAAGATTGCTAAACTCAAGATCACCATACTAGATAAAATTGACGCCACAACTATGATTCTTTTCCTCTTTTTGTCGGAACCGGGTTTGGAGGTAGATTCTGTGATTGATGGAACTAGTAGTAAAACAATAACAAGTTAATGTTGTTTGATAACCCGAACTAATAGTAACATGTATGTATGTATATGGTTATGTTCAATAAGGAAAAATGAATCAATTTTAATTCTTCAATAAAAAATAATACAAAGCACCAAAAAATAGGATATGTGACTAATGGAAAGATGTAGATGACTATAACAAAAACCGAATATTCACAGTGTCAACCACGAATACACCTAATTTTTTCAACAATCATTTACCATTAAGTAATTAATCATTAGCATATAACACTCAATTTTTTTTGTTGGGACTTGACTACATAGTTACATTAAGTATATTTTTCTATAGTTTACCACTAAAGTTAAGGATAGTTACATTAAGTATATTTTTCTATAGTTTACCACTAAAGTTAAGGGGTATGGTCATTATTTATCAAATTGCTCAAAACGTGACCCCACATACTACCACACCACAAACCTTTAGAAATGGTTACCAATCCATTTCATCTACACTTTTTATTATTTTTCTTTTTGATATTACATTAATGAAAAAACCATAATTTCAAAACCAAATAAACATTTTACTAATAAAAAAAATTACATTAGAAAACCTACATTACAAACTAAAACTCCATAAAAGCTGAAAGATCGAAATTTAAACCTACGTTACTAATAAATAAACATAGATATTAAAACCTATATAAATAGATAAAACTAGAAAAATCTAATCGTCGTATTTTTCGCGGACTTTTGTTGAAGTTTTAAAAAGGTTGCTAGATTTTCCGGCCAGATCTCCGGTTGGGGCATTATGTTCAAAATTTTAAGGTCGGTAAGTATTATTTTTTGGCTAGGAACTTCTTACGATTTTTCGAACTGTTTTTGTAAAAAATCTAGATGTTTGTCTATTTGTTCCGAAAGTACGTCATCAGTCCTCTTTGTTGCTGATGACGATACCACCCATTTAGCTTTATCCCTTTCGGTTGGTCGACGAAAGACGACTTCCGGTGGACCTCCCCTCCCCTTTTTGGTCGATGTCATCATTGAGGTTGAGGCCAAAATCCACATCTGACTCGGATGTTCTCAACCGTTTGTTTGAGTCAGTGGTGGATTCTGAAAGCGATTCCGAAGTAGGGACCCATTTTGGACCCTCATGACAAATTAGCCACTCTTTTTGGTGGCTGAACAAGTTACCATCGTTGGTAAACTTGTTTTGTTGGGACGAGGTTGATAAAATATTGAAATCGTTGCTCCCACTTTTGTGCATATTTTTAAGATTTTCAAAAATGCCATTAAATTTGGTGCAATTTGCTTGTAGGTCACGACATTTTCTGTTGATCGTGCCGTACATCCAACATGTACCCTTTCCTATATCCAAGTGAAAGTTGTGTAAAAAACGATTTCAAAAACTCTCTTGTGATTGCGTGTTGCCATTTCTATTGTCTTTCGGTATAGATATCCAAGCTCTTGCTAACGTCGCTTCCTCTTCTTCGATCCAATCTCGACTAACTTTTTTAACCTTTCCTTTCCTTTGTCTTCTTCTTGGTGGTAATTGAGTTTCTTGGACCCTTTTGTCGTCGTCGTCGTCTTCGAGGTTTGAGAAAATGAGACTTGAGTTTGGGGTTAAGATTGTTGTAATTCAAAAGTTTGAGGTTGAGAAGGTAGTTGAAAAGTTTGGAATTGGGAATGATGGAATTGTCGTGGTGTAGGTTGCTGGAAGTAGTTTGTGGAGTATGGATGGTTGGTAAACAAGGGTTGTTGCTAAATTGGGGATGTTAACATGTGCATGTATCAACGAATATGTGTGCACGGATCATTTGGGGTATTTGGAGTATTTGGAGTATTTTGATTTTGATCCATAGTAAGTTAGTGAAAATTGGAGAGTATAGAAAAAAATGGATGTGTTCGTTGTAACGCCCACATTTCCTACTAGGCACTTAGTAGAAAAATATGTATTAACATTGGTCGATAATGTAAATTTTAATGCAAATAAATAAATAAGAAATTTTCCTACATGTTACATGTTTACAAAATATTATTTGCGTATGATTACTATGTGTATGTTACATAGATAAATATTATGGTGATATAATAATTGTATTAGATATGGTTATAAATGTAACAGAAAGCGATAAATAAAAATTATAAATAAAATATTATTTAGAATAAATAATCTTAACGAAAGTTGTAGTAATCGAGATTATGAACCCGTGAGTATAAAGAATGCCTAAATCTCACTTCGTATGAAGAAGTTATGATTTTTCGAAGTTTCGCGTTCCGCCCAATACAACAATGTGTGTCATAAAATACAAAATGAAAATCGGTTTCCTGTTAGCAAAACAATGTAAACGAATGTTGGTTTCCTCGAGAATACGAATCCTTCCATATAAAGAATGTCGAGAACGAAGCTCGTATAAAGAAGTTATGAATTCCGCAAAGTCGTTTACAATGTAATATTTATAGACTGTAATATGAAAATAGAATGCGAATTAGTTTTTGAACTCTAAAGGAAAATTGTACTACTCGTCGATACAAACGGAGGATATAAATAACGTCGAAAACCGAGCTCGTATACGAAAGATATGATTTGTCAGATATTTTAGAAATTAGTGTGTGATGAAGTGGCGATACCAGAGCGCGCTACGTGGCACAATATGGACGACTCTCTCCTACTGACATGATAACGTGGCCCAACAACAGAGTGACACGTGGTACCACAAAGGACGAACTCGTAGCCACGACGCGACGTGCCTAGCTCCACAGTGCGACGCGCCCTTTCCGAACTACTATAAATAGAGCCATTTTCTTCATATTTTTGTCACACATTTCTCTTAACTCTCTTTCGGAAACCCATCGATATATGGTTTACATATTTTAAGCACTTTATCGAGGCACTCAGACATTAGAGGGCCCGTCAAAAAGTAGTATTCAGAGTCGAAGTTCTGCCCGTGACATCCGAGCTTTTGCCAGAAAAATTTATAAGTTGAGTTATACTTATTAAGCTTCAATTGTAACTTATTTTTATGTTCATTGTTGTCATTAGAACCTATAAAAAAGATTTATCAGTAATTCTAGTCAAAATGCAGATCGATCTACTTACGAGAATGATGTCTAGGCCAAATCTTAGTGAGGTATTTCAAGTGGATTTTCCAAACAATATACTCTGAATATCAAACAGATCCTACCTCCAATGTGATCTTGCCTGGTCATTCATTATTTGATAGAAATCAGTATTTCTTCATATTATTGAGGAATCTGAAATATTGTTATTATCTCGAATAATACAAACAAAGACTAAGACTTAGTAATATTTGTATCTAGGTCTTTTAAATGGAAAATATAAGGTAGTAGGCGAATCGCTAACTTAACCAAGTGACTTTCACCTATAAATAAGTGAGTGCATAATTACTTTCAAGAGTGTAATCCTAATAAAAGTATTTGTTGATTTAAACATTAAATATATACTAAATGTTTTTTAAATGTGTTTTGTGCTAAATGTATATCTTTTATTATGATGTATTGCATGAAAGGCTTGGGCCCAAGGGACAGGGTTTAAATGGTAATTTATAGACTTCGTTTGGAAAGATTTTATGGAGGAGGGAATGGAACCGTCATTATGGAAAAGATATGATGAGGGACGGAGTATAGAACCGTTACCCTCTTAACCCTAACCCTAATGGGCCTTTGTGGGCCAATTGGGAACATATTTATGGACTAAGGAAATTATTAGGCTTTAGGATAAGGCCCATTGGAAAGGCTTGCGCCCAATTTGGAAAAATTAGGCCATAAGTGGACCATAATTGGGCCTTGAGGATTATTAGCTATTGAGCCATCAGAATGCCAATTGTTTGGACTAGAATAATTGGTTGGGCCTTAAAGTAAGTCTATGTAGAGGTTTAGGCCCAATTTCGAAAATTAGCCCATATGTTGGGCTTTGGCCCATTACTTGTCTATTGGGCCTTTGGAGTGTGAGATGGACTTGGGCTTGGAACGCAATTATTAATTGGGTATTGTTTGTTGTTGACAGTTTGAGAATCTTTCATCCAGTAGCTAGAGGTTTATCCCCGGGACTTCATCAGTGCTAGGTAAGTCTCCTCACCATACCAATGGGTCTATGGCACCAAGGCCGACCCATTTTATAATATGTGGTACACTAGCTAAAGTTGTATTATGTGGCATGTTAGCTGGTTATGTGCTAGGAAGTATGTTAGTGGTATATGTGTTATGCTTGTATGGAAGACCATGGGAGAGCCCATGGCACCTGAATGTAAGACCATGTGGAGAGCCCATGGCTTTCCTACTATGCTGTAGTGTTTATGGTAGATTCACTACTGATATGTCTGGTATTAATATATATATATATATATATATATATATATATATATATATATATATATATATATATATATATATATATATATGGTCTGCTAGGGATTACGTGGTATGCTAGTTGTCTATGTGATATTTGCATGGAAGACCATGGGAGAGCCCATGGCACTCGGATGTAAGACCATGTGGAGAGCCTATGGATTTCCTATCAAAAACCATGGGAGAGCCCATGACACTTAGGTGTATGACCATGTGGGGAGCCCATAGCATCCTGGTGTAAGACCCTGGGGACGAGCCCACGACATCCGTATATGTTGATATGCATGGCTATGTGATTGATATGGATACGTGATTGATATGGTTTATGTAGCTTTTATAGCTAATATGGATTCTATGATTATATGGAATGTGTGGGGTATGCTCAGGGGAACTCACTAAGCTTTGTGCTTACAGTTTTGTTTATTGTTTCAGGTATCATCGGTTTGGAAAAAAAGGGCCCGGATCGATCGCAGTGCACACACCCATGTTTTCCGCATTGAATGATTTTGGGGTAGACTCTGATAAATGTTTTAATTAATAATGTTTTGGATGTTGGAATAAAAGAT